TTTAGTTTTCGGCATATGGAGAGATAGTTTTTCCAGCACCACTATCTTTCTTCCAGTGTACATGTTTGTCAAAGATGAGGTGGCTGAGTGTGTGGTTGTGGCTGCACGCTCAAATCTATTCCATTGATCCTCAGATATGTTTTTATCCTAGTACCATGCTGATTTTATCACAGTAGTTTTGTAATATACTTTCAAATCAGAGATTGTGAAGCCTCCTGCTTTAGCTTTGTTGCCCAGAATTGCCTTTGCTATTCTTGGTCTCTTTCTAGTTCCAGATGAATTTTAGGAGTGATTTCTCTAGATTTGTGAGGTATGCAAATGTTTTATTGGAATTGCATTGAATCTGTATAACAATTTTGGGAGAATGGCCATTCAGTGTTTGTTCTTCCTATCCATGAACAGGGAATATCTTTCCATTTTCTGAAATCCTCTTCAATTTCCTTTTAAAGCATGATGTAGTTTTCATTGTATGGATCTTTTACTTCCTTAGAATTGAATCCTAAGTATTTCATTTTTTGGATGCTATAGTGAAGGGTATGGTTTCCCTTATTTCTCTCTCAGTGACTTTATTGTTTGTGTATAGGAATGCTAGTGATTTTTGAGTGTTGACCTTGTATCCAGATACATTACTGAATTTGGTTATATCTAGGAGACTTTCAATGGAGTTTTGAGGGTCTTCTATATAGAGTATCCTATCAACTGCAAATAATGATAATTTAACTTCTTCCTTTCCTATCTTTATTCCTTTTATTTCTCTTTCTTATATAATTGCTCTGGCTAATGTTTCCAGAATTATACTGAATAGGGGTGGTGATAATGGATATCCTTTTCTTGTTTCTGATTTTAGATAGAAAGTTTTCAGTTTTTGTCCATTTAGTAAGACATTGGCAGTTGGTTTATCATATATGGCTTTCATCAGATTGAGGTAGAAACCATCTATTCCAATTTTCTGTAGGGTTTTAATCATGTATGAGTGTTAGATTTTGTCAAAATCCTTTGCTGTGTCTATTGAGATGACCATATGGTCCTTGGCTCTGCTGATATGGTGTATTATGTTTATTGATTTGCATATGTTGAACTATCCCTGTATTCATGGGATGAATCCCACTTGGTCATGGTGTCTTCCTGATGACTCCTTGCATTCTATTTGCCAGTATTTTATTGAGGATTTTTGCATCTATGTTCATTAGAGGCATTTGCAAGTAATATTCTTTTTTGGTTAGGTCTTTCTATGTTTTTGGTATTAGGATAATGCTTGCTTCAAAGAATGGGTTGCTTCTTTTTGAATTTCATTGAAGAGTTTGAGGAGTGTTGGCATTAAATCTTCCTTGAATTTCTTGTAGAATTATGCTGTGAATCCATCAGGACCTGGGCTTTTCTTTTTTGGTAGGGTTTTAAATTACATTTTCAATTTCATTAACTGAAATTGGGTTATTAAGCCATTTTACATCTTTATTCAGCTTTGTTAATTTATATATTTCTAGGACTCTCTCCATTTCTTCTGTGTTATTGAACCTATGAGAGTAAAGTTTTTCTAAGTATTTCTGCAGGGTCTATAGTGATTTTACCCTTTTCATTTCTTATTGTGTGGATTTGAGTTTTTTCTTTCCTCTTTTTGATAAGATTGGGTAAGGGTTTATCAATTTTATTTATTCTTTCAAAGAACCAACTCTTTGATTCATTAATTATTTGTATTGTTTTCTTAGTTTCAACTGCATTAATTTCTGCTCTGATCTTTATAATTTCTTGCCTTTTTGGGCTTTGGGCTTGACTTGCTCTTGTTTTTCTAGCAGTTTGAGTTGCAGCATTAAATTGTTTATGTGTGGTTTCCATTTTCCTAATGTGGGAGTTTAGTGCTATAAATTTCCCTCCTAAGGACTGCTTTCATTGTGTCCCATAAGTTATGGTAATTTGTATTTGCATTTTTGTTTGATTGTAGATATTGTCTGATTTCTTCTGTGACCCACTGGTTATTTAGGGAGGTGTTATTTAGTTTCCATATGTTTAGGGGTTCTTGTAGGGGTTTTTTGTCCTTAATTTCCAATTTTATTGTGCTATGGTTAGATAATATGCATGGAATTATTTCAATTTCCTCACATTTACTTAAGCATGTTCTGTGAGTTAGCATATGATCTATTTTAGAGAATGACCTGGGTCCAGCTGAGTAAGAATGTGTATTCTGTTGTGGTTGGGTGGAACACTCTGTACACATCTACTAGGTCCATTTTTTCCTAAGTTTGATTTTTTTCTGTTATTTCTCTGCTGATTTTTTGTTTGGTTGATCTGTCTCTTTGTGACAATGAGGTGTTAAGGTCCCTTGTTATAGCTGTATTATTGTTTATATGGGTTTTCATGTCTATTAAAATTTGTCTTACATAGTTGGGTGTTTTCATATTTGATGCATATGTATTTATGACTGTAATATCTTCCTCTTCAACTTTGCCCCTAACAAGTATGTAGAGACCTTCTTTATCTGTTTTAATCATTCTTGGTTTGAAGTTCACATTGTCTGCAAAGAGAATAACTGCTACTTTTTTCTGGGTTCTTGTTTCATGGAGTATTGTTTTCTGTCTTTCGACTTCAGTCTATGAATATCCTTTTGAGTTAAATGTGTTTCTTGTACACAGCATGTTGTTGGATTTTGTTTCTTAATCCACTCTGCCAGTCTGTTTCTTGGTATTGGTGAGTTGAGACCATTTACATTGATGAATATAACGGATAAATACTGACTTATCACTGTCATATTATCTTTTGTAGCTAGTAATTTGTTGTTGTTTTTGAGAATTTAAGTTATCTTTTTTTTCTTCTTTCTAGAATGTCTTTCAGTATTCTTTGTAATGTTGCTTTTGTGGCCATGAATTTCTTCAGTTGTTCTTTGTCATGGAAGTATATTGTCTCTCCATGTATTTTCAAAAATAATTTTTCAGGGTACATTAATCTAGGTTGAAAGTTCTTTTCTTTCAGGATCTGAAATAATTCATTCTAAGTTCTTCTTGACTTGAAGGTTTGTGTTGAGAAGTGTGCTGTGATTCTGATAGACTTTCCTTCATAGGTGATCTGTTTCTTTTCTCTGACAGCTTTTAGTATTCTGTTCTTGTGCTGAATTTCTGATATCCTAATTGTTATATGTCTGGGTGAAGACTTATTTTGGTTATGATTAATTTGGGGTTCTGTGTTCCTCACTTGTCTGCATATCAGATTTTCCATGTTTGGAAAATTTTCTGTTATTATTTATGCAAATAGTCTTTGCAAGTCATTTGTGTTGACCCCGGCTGTTTCATTGACACCTATCAGTCTTACATTGTTTCTCTTTGCACCATCTTGCAGTGGTAAATTGTTTCCTTGTTCCTTGTTATTTTTAAGAGATGTTTTCTTTTGCAGTAGTAATCTTCCATTCTGTCTTCAAAGTTTGAGAATCTACAGTTTCATCCAAGCAGTTTTGCCAGCTTTCAATGGAATTTTTAATTTCTTGAATATTCCTTTGAATCTGTTTCATGCATTCTAATTCTATCTTATATTGTTCATTTAAAATTTCCACCGTTTTCTTATGTTCTTCTTTTTTTTAATTTAGATCTTTGTTAGATACACACAACATTTCTTTCATAATGTTTGTCATTTCATTTTTTTACCTGAGAGATTATTTCTGACTTGATTTCCTCTGTTCCTTCATGGAGTTGTTTCTTTACTTCAGTTGCTATCATTTAAGAAAGTTCAGTTGTGCAATTTCCAGTGTCTTCCTTTTCAGAGTCTCTTGGTTATGTTCTTGGTGGGCTGGAGGACTGAGACTGCCTCTTGTTCTTTCATTTTGTCGTTTTGTCTGGGACCTGTGTGGCTGGTCAGGCATCCTCCTAATGGATTGCACTGGAATGCTTCACTGAGCAGAGTTTCAATCCTCTGACTTCTCTGTGGATATCCAGGGTGTACCCACAACCTGTGGCAATGGATCCTTGTGCTCTGTGGTCTGTGAGGCTGACTGGGTGTTTCCCTGATGTACTGTGCTGGGTTGCTCTGGAATACTGGGCTGGGCAGAGGCTGGATCCTTTTGCTGCTAGCAGGGAAAGACTCCAGGAGTGTGTTGCTGGAACCTAGAAGCTGTTTAAGTAGAGTTAAGAACTTCTGAGACCCAGGTGGCTAGCAGGGATGCATCCCTACTGTGTCACCAGGGGCTAGCTCCTGCTTGGGTGGAGTTCAAAACCTCTGGGACCCAGGCAACTAGGCAGAGCATGACCCTGAGTGTAGCACCCTCTGAATCTTACCTCTGGTTGGGAAGAGTTCAGAGCCTCTGGAGCATGCAAGTAGCCAGAGTGTGTCCCCAGCGTAAAGTGCTGGGCCTTGTCCCTGGCAGGGTGGAGTTTGGAACCTCTGGGTCCTGCGTGGCTGGCTGGGCCACACTGCTGAACTATGGAGCTGGGGCCTTGTGGTCTGATGGGCAGAGCTCAAGTTCTCCAAGACCTGTCATATCTCCCTGATGGGCAGTTCTGGGGCTCTGGACTGGGCTGGGCTCAGTGCCTCTGTGACCAGTGAGACTGGCTAGGCGTACTCCTGATGGATTGTGCTGGGTTGCTCGAGTGGGCAGAGTTCAGATCCTCTGTGCCACTCGTGAGGATGCACCTCTGGAATGCAGTACCGGGGCCTTATGCCTTGCTGAGTGGAGTTCAGAACCTCAGGGACCCTGGAAACTAGGCAGAATACAACCCTGAGTATGACACTCTGGAGTGTGCAGCTAGCCAGAGCATGTCCTAGGTGTACGGTGCTGTGGCTTTGCTCCTGGCTGGGTAAAGTTTAGACTTCCGGGACCCGCTGTGTGACTAGATGGGCTGCACTGCTGAACTCTGGAGCTCTTGTTTATCTTTGATGCACAAGCAGAATAGCCTAAGTTCTTTTTTTTTTTTTAATTCTGCAAATTGCAGACTATCAGTGACTTGTAATAAAAAAGTTTTTTTTTTTTAAAGAAATAGACAATAAGAGCAATAAAATCACGTCCTTTGGATTTGGTAAGCTTAGGTATTTATTATGACTTATATTTCAATAACAAAGATGTTTTCCAGTTGCAACTGTAAAGGAAAAATTGTTCTAAATTTTATTTGAGATAAAAGCCATCATGTATTGTAATTCATAATCATTTTCTTGGAAAAAAATGAGCATCCTTGAGAAGACATTTAAGCAATTTTCTGTTACACTACAGTGGGACTAAGACTTGCTCAAAGACACTGGTTTCCTACTCACTCTATTGCCTGTCAGCTGAGCATCAGGTACGAATTCAGTGATCTTTAACAAAATGTTTATTTTTTTCTAGGAGTTAGACTAATAATAGCTATCTTCTTTTTCTGCGAAATGTGCCTACTACAAATAAATCTCTGAATTGGGCTGCTGGAAATCTTTTCTTTTGCAGCAAATTTATAAAAATAGCTTTGAAATGTGTTCATAATTAGTTTGATAAAAAGTTTAATGCAATATAAAGTGTATTTTTCCCTGTGGATCCTAATTAAAAAGTCTAAAGGCCACTTTTAAGAAAAAAGGACAGTGGTGGTAAAACCTACCTTTCTGCAGAGGTTGGAAGCAGGGAAGGGCCCAATCATGCCCAGGTGATACCTTTAAGAGAAAGGGCCAGGTGAAGGCTTGCCCAAGGACCTGCAGCTCTTCCCACAGATGAGACCAGCAGGATCCATATCAGGAAGATTCTTTGTCAGTCCTCATGGGTGGACTGGGTAGCCTCAGCCAGGGCAGACCAAAGTATGACTGACAGGTGAAGACATGGACTGGAAATAGAAAGACATGCTGGAATCTGTAGCAGCAATGTATTTCTTGGATTCTGTATGGAGCGCCTTCTTCTTGGAACTCTGGCCATGGCATGTAGCATCTTGTGATGGGAAGATCCATGAAGGCAGGAAGGTGCCTGTCTTATTCAGTGATGGATTCCCTAACACTGTGGGTATGCAAAAATATTAAGTGAGTAACTATTCTCTTCATCCATTAAGGGATCGTGGTGTGTCTCCTTTTTTGTCCCAGTGTACTCTCTGTGCTTCTTCAGATAGATCAGAGTCCAAGCCACAGCTGAGTGGTGACACATTTCTCTTTTCCTGGGTTTCTTCATCACCTGCTTCTTTCCCAAAGGATTACAGACCAGGGCCTGGCAGAAGGGCTTTGACCAGTGCCCCCCAGTACTTGGCTATGTGGATCTTGTTGTCAGGAACATTGTGGAAGCTTCTGGCTCTTAGCATGACTGGTCAAGGAAAGGAAGAAATTAAGAACTAAGCGATTATTGTAAAAGGACAGAGGCAAAGGCCAACTCTAGTGCATTTATCAATGAATAGTGAATGAAATATGAGGTGATACATCCCTGAAAAAAGTGGACAGTACTTTAAAATCTTATCAAGATGATCATTAGGTGATATGTATTAAATTGGTTGCCTGGTATATATACTTGCAAATAATAAATTTAGAATATAAGTGTCTTAGTTACTTTTTACTCATTGCTGAGACAAAATACTTGAAGCCCAAAGTTAGGAAAGGAAAGGTTTACTTCTTACAGTTTTTGGAGGTTTCAGTCCAAACTGGATCCAAGGCAGGGTGGCATGGCTGGACTGCAGTTCATGGTGGTTGCAAACCATAAGGAAGAAACCTGCAAAAGAGTGAGACACACCTTCTTCCTGCCATTACATTGCATCCTGGCTCCACCCCTAAGCCAGTGTAGCACTCTCACCCCCAATCCTAGTGCTAGACAATGCACCAATCACAAATGCACAATGCAAATGCATGAGGCATGGGGCCACCAATTTAAACCATGAAAATAAGTCTTAAAAATAATTATGTGGCATATCTCTTTGTTGACTCCACTGAAAATAATTTTCCTGCACTATAGAAACCAACTTTTACAATGATTTAGCATACATATCCCCAAAGGAATGCCATCCTCCTTTTTCCCAGATAGCGTTTAGTTAAAAACAAGCTGACTGCTATATTCCTCTACTTGTTCATTACCATTGTGTGTTGGCCTACATTAAAAAATACCAGGCTGATCAAAAATGCAAAGATGAGGATATTCCTGGAGAATGTGGACCCAAGGAAAGAAAAAAGCTCTGTGGTTGAATTGGGGCATGGAGTCACCTGAGGAGCCATATGAAATGTGTCTTAAGACTATCCATCAGGGGAAGACAGGGGAAACAGCTGTCCTCTAACTTCTGTCTCAATAGATCATGGATTAATCTTGTAAGATGTCAACATCCTCTTTTCTGAGCTTGGGCATAATATGGGTACTGAATGAGCTCCTGAGAAATCCTACTTTATGCTGTCTGCTGGCAGGCACTGAGTTGGGTGATGAGAGGCTTGATATAGCCTGGCTGTGCCTGGGCAAAACTTCCCAGAGCTCCTTAGGTGACCACATAAAGGCTAAAATAAGAGTTAGAGGAAGCTGAGAGGATTCAAATGGTCCATAAGAGATATCTGATACAGGTGGTAAAGCAAGTACACCACAGTGATTCCTTGGGATAACATTTAGGTAGCCATTGACTTTAGTTTTTATTGTTCCTAGTAGTGACAGAATAAGATTATCCTAATACTCAAGGCTAGAAGAAAAGATCCAAGAATTTAGCATGTGAAGATTTCCAAAGAGAACTTACTTCTAGATGCCTCCCAAGCATGGAGTTTGACAAGGAATGCATTACTTGACTTTATCCACTATCTGTGTGATTCCCAGCTCCAAATATCTAACTCAGCCTTACTGCATTTACATTATTCCCTTTAAGAATGAATTTTCCAATATAACCTGTCCAAGTTAAAAATCAAGGCCTAAATCTTCTCCTACTGGCTTCTCAGTCTTAATGTATGTGTCTTAGTCACTTTCCTTATCACTGAGACACAATACCCAACACCCAAATCTTAAAGGAGAGAGGCTTATTTTAGCTCACAATTTCAGTGGGTTCATCCCATGGTCAGCTGGCTCCAAGACAGAAACAGCATGGTAGAAGGGTGCAGGAAGGGAAGATGCTCACAACATGGCTGCCAGGAAGCAGAGAGAAAGGAGTGACCAAGGAAGGAGACATATACTTCTAGGTTGTGCCCCCAACCTCCATACAGCACATTAGCTATCAAAGGCATTGTTAGATGAATCTACTGATTAATATAGAGCCCTCGTGATTGAATCACATGAGAATATTGATATTCTAGATCAAGATCCTAAGAGTAGGAAGTCCACAGGGCCAGGAAAATGAGAGTCACTGTTGACTCTTTCCCTCCTTCTCTTCACATCCCTCACCGTATCCAACCAGTTGTGAGATCCTGTCAGTTTTACTACCTTATTGTATTCAAGTCTGTCATTTTTTTGTCTGTGTACTGTGGTGGCTTAGCTCACCTTTGTGAGTTAAGCATCTCTTTTGTTTTGAGTTGCAGTCACAAAATGGCCTTCTAACTATTCCTTGACTTCAGTCTTGTCTTCTTCCAGACATTAAGGATTTCCCCGACTGTGCAGAGATTTGCGGCTAATATAAGAGGTCACTGTTTGATGATTCTCACCCAAGAATACTAAAGAGTCATCTTTAAGGATAAGTTTTTGCTAGTGATGGCTGTGGACCAAGAAAGAACCAAGAAGTCAGCTTGCTTTTCCCATGAGCCAGGGGCAGATGTGGGCTGGAAAAGAACCAGGAAGTTAGCCTGCCTTTCCCATGAGCCAGCTGGCATGCAGGCTGGGAGACAAGAAGAGTCTCTCCCACCCCTACCCCCAACCCCCAACCTCTGTGTAAGCAACAAGCTGATTCAGAGCAACACAGGCTGGGATGATAGCAACTGAAGTACTAAAAATAACTTAATGCTTGTACTGGTTGATTGACTTTGTAGGTCTGTGGCCAGTAGTCTGAGCATCTGATTAGAGGATAACAATATGCAATATAGCAACTATGGGAAATTTCCTTCTGTCTTTTTCTTGAAATTTAATATTGTTGTCAATGTTTTGTTTTATTTCATTTATTATTTTATTTTATTGCTTCAAAATAAAAAAAAGTTTTTCATAAAGTTTACCAAAATTGGCTCTCATCTATTCTCTGATGCTTCAGTCAGTGTGGTATGATTTTGTATCCTTTTCCTATATGTTGGTTAGCTGCCTGCAGCCTTCTGGGAGGTGGGTTCTTGGACACTCCACACTATTCTCAATTCTCCACAGACAAATGTGCATGATTTGTTGCAACTGTGACTCCATTTATGTGTTAGGTGATAGTTGGTGGAGCTGGGGGGCAATGTTGAATCTACAACACAGAGCACCTCCACGAATGCCACCCAAAAGAGCCCACAAAGATGACAGACATGTTCGGCAGGGCCTTTCTGACTCTTCACCTTCCCTTGATTTTCTGTTTCACTCACTGTTGGTTAAGAGGATAAAAAGATCATTTTGGGCCAACTCCCTTGGGATGGGAGGGGAGCAAAAAAAAATTTTTTTTAAATTTTATTTAAGGAGAAAAGAAAAAAAAGCAGAGAAAGGGTACAAGTTATACAGATTTACAGAAAAAAATGAACAGTAGGAAATCACTAGTTAATGGATTACATATTGTCAACTTAGAAATAATTGTTCAAGTCACAAAATTAAAGCTTGTAAAGTGGACATTCCAACAATGATACTGCAAACAGTTCTGTTCAATGATCCAATAAAACTCTGTGATATCATCTTCTATCTTATACACTTAAATATACATGCAGTTATATAGTTTAGAGCACTTTCTTTTCCTCTCTTTTGTACAATGACTATTACACATTTTGGGTTTCATTGCTCCCACAGTTCTTATTACTTTTTTGGAAGAGAGTAAAACCAAATGTGACGTAACAGAAGAGAATCGGTCAAGTCAAAAGGGTGGACATAATAGATAATGTAAAAACATAATACAAGGTGATCAACAATGGTTACCATAATGCCTCCCGCTATCTCTAAAAGAATTGCCTATATCATTAGTTATAATAAAATTGAACAAAACAGTAAAGAACAAAACCGACAAAACGAAAACATTGGTGACATTGTAGGTCTTCAAAAGTAGATAAAAGTCAACGAGAATCAGCGAGAATGGGAGTTATAATGAATCTCATTATCTTCACAGCTGATGCCTAAACTTTCGAACCTGATACTATCCAGCAAAACAGAATAGGGGAACATCAGTCAAAAACAAGATGGTTAGAGTAATACAGGGCTTCAAATCGAGATAATGGAAAGTCAAAATGGGTTACTATAATATATCCTGCTATTTTTTTCTTTAATTAAAAGGATAAAAATAAAAAAGTAAATAATGGAGTGGAGATTGAGATAAAAGAGGGCATAACAGCAAAACAGCGCAGATCAAAACATAACCATTTAAGCAGAATAGTGTTTCACCACCAGATAATCCCGACCCAAAAGTAGTTACCATATTGTCTCTTTCCTTGAAATCCTTGAGTACAACTTCGTATACTGTAGCATTAAGTATATCAAAACAATGTAAAACCATTTAAGAGAATGACAGCATTACAGAGTATTTAGAATCGACTAACAGAAAATGAACAATGGTTTCTGTATAATCTCCTTGTCTTTAAAAGGTTTTTGCTTATACTATCGTACATAATAAAATCCAATAAGATACAACCCATTTAGACCATTGAGGACAGAAGAACAAAAGCTAGATGAGACTTCAAAACAAGATGATACTAAATCAGTATTACCTATTAAGATGTCATTTTCTCCAAAATAGCTGTTCCTATCATCCAATCTTCTCTGCCTCATTTCTGTTGAGCTCTTTTTCTGTCAGTTGCTGTCAGTTTGTCTTCTTCATTTTGTTCTCTGGAGGGGAGCAAAAATTTAATTGAGTGATTGTTGAAAAATGTAGTAGTCCTGACTTATGTGTTAAAAGTATGTCACAAGACTCTGAGTGGATGCATGAAACTGGACCTATGTACCCTGGATCTTTTTCCATATGTCCTGCAGTGCTATGACAGGTACCAGAGTTAATCTGTTCTTTGATTTATGCCCCAGTGGCTCCTTTGGGTCAATATGCTTGTCCTTTGGGACTATTTCTAAGTCAAATAACGGTCACTTGAGCACAAAACCATGATATTTGGGTAGTTTGAAACCTGAGAAGGCTACTAAGTGACTAACAAGTAATGTACAGCGTGGGTACACTGGACAAAGAGATGTTATTGTCATGCGCTGGATGGAGCAGGGTGACTGAAACTTTCATCACACTGCTCAGCACCACATAAGTTAAAACTTATGCATTCTTTCTAGAATTTCTCACTTACTGTCTTTGGACCACAATTGGTTGCAGGTAACTGAAACCATGGAAAATCAATGGGTAATGGGGCATTGCTGAAGCATCTGAAGGCTTGAAAGCTACTGACTCAGAATAGCCCTGTCTACTAACATGTAAAATTTTCTCTAATGTATTAATAAGTATTTCTCACATGCCAGCTACATGATATCTTATAAGAGGCATTGTAAGAGATGTAAAATGTCAGGTACATTCCTCTAAACATGGGAAGACAATTTATACATGTGAACCTGTAAAGTGAAACTGGTGAACCAAGTGCTGAACCATATGAGTTAGAAGGCAAGGCTGTTAGAAAGCTTCTACCACAGACTTGAGAACCCATTGTGGGGAAACAAACCTAAGATGGAACCTGACTTCTTTTTATAATTTAGAGCTGTAACTCACATGCATTTGTCTTATGCATTTGTCTTCTTTTTCTATAGAACTACTTAAGAAAATATTTTACATGATTCTTACCTAGTCACTGGATAGTTTTTTGGCTGCTAAAACACTCAAACAAAGGGAGAAGTCAGTCATAGATATCTGGCTTTTGCTTATTTGCATGACTGAGTTCTAAATTGTTCTTCCAAATATTGGCAGCATAGACTAAACCATGGCAAATGATAGTGATTCTAATTGTGGGTTAATGAATGCTATAAGAAAATAATCATAGACATACTGTTTTCTAACAGTGTTTAGTGTATGATTCTTAGCTTAATTTTAGGTTAATTAGCACCAGTACATTTCTTTAATGAATGCCAGGTTAATTCCATTCTTTCTTTTATAGCTGTAAATAAATTTCATTTGTGTTGACATTTGCATCTTTCATGCATTGGACTTTTTTCTCTGAGAATTTTTTCTTTGTTTCATATTTAGAAAATCTAGCTTGTTGGTTCTATCAAAAACTGAACTTAAGTAACATCTGTGAATATGATAACTATTGCTTAGGTTCATTGGACCTAGGTAAAAGTTTGTAGCATTTAAGAGTCATAATGTATTTTTAAGACAAGTTTCAGATAACTTTTTCAGGTAGATCAGGCTCAACACATCTGTCATAGCTGAATTATGTCCCTACCTCCAAATCCATAACTGGAAGACCTAGCCCCCAGGATCTGGGTATGTGGCTGTACATGCGGTGGTAAAGGGTGATAAGTTAAAATGAAGCCATTAGAGTGGTCCCTAACCTAGTCTGTCTGGAGTCCTCATAAGAGGATAAAATATGGACCGACAGGGAGACACGAAAGATGCACACAGGCACAGAAGAAAGACCATTGAGAACAGAGAGAAGGTGTTCACAAGTCAGTAAGAGAAGGAACCAACTTGGCAGTCATGTAAGTGGGAAATCCTGGAAATAGATTCTTCATCTTAAATCAAGCTTCAGTGACTGGTTCTAGTTCCTTGGTCCTGACTGCAATTCACATAGACCTGGAGCTGAATTACCCTGGCCAAATTCCTGATCTGAAGATTCTGTGTGAGATGATAAAAGCTTAGTTTTTTAAAATTTTATTTTATTTTATTTAAAAAAAGATTAAGATAAAAGAGGACATAACCACACAGGTCAGAGTACAACAATTTAAGCAACATAGTGTTTCTCTACAAGACAATCCGACAGAACAGTAGCTACCATAGTGTCTTTTTCCTTGAAATATTTGAGTATACCTTGATATACTACAGTATCAAACATAAAAAGACAGTGTAAAACCATTCAAGAGAATGAAAGTATTACAGGGTATTCAGAACCAACTAATGGAGAACGAACAACGGTTACTATATTATCTCCTTGTCAACAAAAAATTTTGTTTATACTATCATATATAATAAAATCCAGTAAGATACAACATGATAAAACCAATGGAGACAGAAGAACAAAAGCTTGGTGGGACTTCAAAACAAGATGATATTAAATCAGCACTAGCTATTATGATGTCTTGTTTTCTTCAGAATAGCTGAAGAATACCATCACAGAAAATAAAATCAAACAACCCAGAATAAAACCATTCCACTTAATGAATGAAAACATTATAAGGCTTCAAAGCAATATAATGGGGAATCATGATTACCACATACTTTTATGTATTCTTACCATTTCTTACACTAGGGAAACTATTCGGTATTTATACATGTGAGTTTGATTTATTTCACTTAGGCACATGGTCTCAAGCTGCATCCACTTATTTATAAATATTTCAATGTGATCATTCTTTATAGCTGAGTAGTATTCCATTGTATAAACATACCATAAGTTTTTTATCCATCCCTCAGTTAATGGACACTTAGGTTGTTTCCAAGATCTGGCTATTACAAATTGTGCTGCCATAAACATGGGTACACATATATCACTGTGGCATGATGTTTTTGGTTCTTCTGGGAAAATGCCTAGAAATGGAATAGCTGGAACAAATGAGACTTCCAATCCCAGCTTTCTGAGAAATCTCCAGACTGACCTCCACCATAATTGCACCAGTCTACACTCCCACCAACAGTGCAAGAGTGTTCCTTTTTCCCCACAGCCTCTCCAGCATTTGTTGTTGATAGTTTTCTTGATCCTGGCCATTCTTTCTGTAGTGAGATGGAATTTGAGTGTGTTTTTAATTTGAAGTTCTCTAATGAGTAGTGATGATGAACATTTTTTCATGTATTTATTTGCCATTTGTATTTCTTCATCTGAGAATTGTGTATTCATCTCAGATGCCCATTTTTTTTATTGGATCCTTGAATTTTGGGGGTCTGATTTTTAAAAAATTCTTTGTTTAAACAGAAGTCCTTTGTCTGAGGGACAGTTCACTAAGATTGTTTCCCAGTTTGTAGGCTTTCTTTTCACTATGCTGGAGATTTCTCTTGACATGCAGAAACTTTTTAATAAGACATGATCCCAGTTGTTGATTCTGGGAAGTATTTCTCATGTGGTTTAATTCCTGTTCATGAATTCTCTACCTACCCCTATGTCTTCAAGGTTTTTACCCAACTTGTCTTCCAATAGATTTAGTGTTTCTGTTTTAATATTCAGATCTTTGATCCATTTAGATTTTAATGTAGTACATGGTGATAAGCATGGGTCTAGTCTTAGATTTTGGCATATGGAGAGCCAGTTTTTCCAATGCCATTTATTAAAGAGACTGTCATTCTTCCAATGAACCTGTTTGGCTCCTTTATCAAAGGTAAGGTGGTTGAGTGTGTTTGTAGTTGTGATTGTGTCTTCTAATCTATTCCATTGATCTTCAGCTCTGTTTTTATCCCATGGCCATGTTGATTTTACTACAGTTGCTTTGTAGTATAACTTCAAGTCAGGGATTGTGATGCCTCCTGCCTTGCCTTTGCTGCTTAGAACTGTCTTTGCTATTCTAGGTCTCTTCTGGTTCCAGATGAATTTTAGGAGTGATTTCTCTAGATCTATGAGGTATGTTGATGGTATTTTTATTGCGATTGCATTGAATCTATATAAGAGTTTTGGGAGAATGGTCATTTTCACAATATTTATTTTTCCTATCCATGAGCAAATGGATGTCTTTCCATTTTCTGAGATCCTCTTCAATTTCTTTTTTCTGTGTATTGTAATTTTCCCTATATAGTTCTTTCACTTCTTTCAGGAGAATAATTCCTAAATATTTCATTTTTTTTTGGTTGCTAGTATGAAGGGTGTGGCTTCTCTTATTTCTCTCTCTGTGATTTTGTTGTTAGTGTATAGAAATGCTATTGATTTTTGAGTATTGATTTTGTATCCAGCTACATTGCTGAATTTATTTATTACATCTAGGAGTCTTTCAATGGAGTTTTGGGGATCTTCTATGTAGAGTATCATGTCATCCACAAACAATGATACTTTAACTTCTTCTTTTCCTATCTTTACCCCTTTTATTTCTCTCATTTGTCTAATTGCTCTGGCTAGTGTTTCCAGTACTATAGTAAATAGGAGTGGTGATAAGGGACATTCTTGCATTGTGCCTGATTTTAAGGTAAAGGTCTTCAGTTTTTGGTGATTTAGTATGATACTGGCTGTTGGTTTGTCATAGATGGCCTTGATCATATTGAGGTAAAGACCATCTATTCCAATTTTCTGTAAGGTTTTTTATCATGAATGAGTGTTGGACCTTATCAAAAGCTTTTTCTGCATCTATAGAAATGATCATGTGATTCTTACTTTTGGCTTTATTGAGATGATGGATTACATTTATTGACTTACGTATATTGAACCATCCCTGCATGCCTGGGATGAATCCCACTTGGTAGTGGTGTATAATCTTCCTGATGATTTTCTGCATCCAATTCACCAATATTTTATTGAGGATTTTTGCATCTGTGTTCATTAGGGAGATTGGCCTGTAGTTCTCTTTTTTAGTTGGGTCTTTCTCAGGTTTTGGTACTAGAGTTATATTTCCTTCCAGGAATGACTTAGGAAGGATTGCTTCCCTTTTGATTTCATTGAAGAGTTGGAAGAGTGTTGGCATTAAGTCTTCTTTGTATTTCTTGTAGAATTCCGCAGTGAATCCGTCTGGGCCTGGGCTCGTTTTGTAGGTAAGGACTTAATTACATTTTCAATTTCATTAATAGAAATTAGGTTATTCAGCAGTTTTACATCTTCTTGACCTAGCTTTGGTACTTCACATGTTTCTAGGAATCTATCAATCTCTTCTGTATTATCAAACCTATGAGAGTAGAGGTTTTTGAAATAGGTGTTGATCTTCTGTATTTCTACAGAGTCTGTAGTGATTTCATCTTTTTCATTCCTTATTGCATGAATTTGAGCTTTTTCTTCCCTTTTTTAATGAGATTGGCTAGGAGCTTATCAATGTTATTTATTCTTTCAAAGAACCAACTCTTTGGATTGTTTTCTTAGTCTCTTATTGCATTAATTTCTACTCTGATTTTTAAAATTTCCCCCCTTCTTTTGGCTTTGGGCTTGACTTACTCTTCTTTTTCTAGATGTTTGATGTGTAGCATCAGGTTATTTATTTGTTTTCTTTCTGTTTTCCTGATGTGGGAACTCAGTGCAATAAATTTTCCTCTGAGGACAGCTTTCGTATGCTTAGTTTGTTTTAAACCTTTAAGTTTTAGGGTAATTTACTGTGTTGCAATAAGAATCAAATACATATGGTGCATAAAAATTGCTTTTTAGGCTTTGTTAATTTTATGTTTCAGTTTTACCAACATTTTTGGCAATATAGAAAGTAGACTTCTCTGGTAGAAGCAAAAAATCAATCTATAAAAGTAAAGAATGACATGCTTTGGCCCCATGGCCAACAAAGAGAGTTGCTTTGATTTCTTGCGTCAGTTGTACCTGAACCCCTAGAACTCTCCCAGGAAATGTTTGTTTCATTTGCTCCATTTCAAGCCTCCTTCAGCTCCCTCGTTTCAACCACCCTCCAGGACAAGAGCACCTGTTGCATAGGAGCACTAGAACTACCAGAAGCACACAGAGACACCCACTCCTTTCTAGGTTTTACATTTGTCATTGTGGACCAAAATGAACTGTCACGCTTTTTATATCTATCATCATGCCTGACTACTCTGGTAGGATACTGTGACTTTGAAGAACTATGTGAAATATTTTCTTTATCAATCCTGGGAGGAGAGACAGAACATTGAGAGAATCCTGAAAAATCACAGAAGAGGCCAAATATATTAGGACCTTGGGGCTCCAGAACCTGGTGTCTGGGAGAAAGGCCAGCAGCAGTGATGTCTGCAAGGTTCTGCAGTAAAAGATATGAACTTTCTTATTTCTGCAGTAATACAAACCAACTCCGGACAGTGTGATCTGAATGTGTAGGTGAATCACCAGAGTTAGCTGGTGAGAGACAAGCTTCAGCTGTTGATGAAGTACACCTGGCAGTGGCCACAACCACAATTAAGTCACAGGCTGCTCCCTTCTGGCTTGAAGGAGGTGCACCCACTCCTGTTTGTTTCCAAAGGTGTCTCTGTCTCACTTGTCTAAGACACTGACGACTTCTGTACCCTCCAGTCTCTGCCATTCCTTTCACCTTTACAGCCTGGCACAATTACAAATAAATAGTAAGATTCCTCTTCAAACTTCCAAAGAATGAATTTAGAGCTACATTAATTCATTCATGGAAATTCTGGATTTCTTTGCAGGCAAAAAGTATCTTACAACAATTGTAAAGATCAATTCTTTTTAATAGCTGAATCTTGGAAAAAAATCAATTCTTTTACTAAATAAAGTGTTCTTTTTAAAAAAACAAAACAAATATATGAGTGTACACATATTTCCTGTAAAATGTTTACAATCACAAGTTATCTCTAAGGAAAGTATTTGCCAAGAATCTGTATAATTTCTAGAGAAAAATGAAAGTTAAAATTTGCATGGTTAAAGCATTTAGTATTAAAATCCAAACCGGGTTACCTAGGCAAGAAAATACATTTTATCCACTTTGATTAAATCAGCAAGATATGATAGTTGCCAAATCTTTACATTCCATACTTCCTGGATAGATTTTTTTAAAAGATACTTTTAGTAATTCCAGCTATAGGGATACATACAACACCTGTCACTACTCACCAAATCATTAAGAGCTCACATTGTGTGAACAGGTTAAACTTGGCAAAGAAAATGCTGACCATGGCCTTAAGTGTTCTTAAGAAATTCTGCTAACTTACCTGAGCCTCAGGGTCTAAGGGACAACATCAGGATTTCAGCTTCTCAGGCTCAGGTCTTCTGAGGATCATAGTCAAACATCAGGCCTGCCTAGGCATGGAGTTCTTTGTCTCCCAGGGTCTAGGGTAGAAAGCCTGCTATTCTGGGCAGGGTCTGCAGTTTGTCCTCTGTCTCTGCCTTCTCCTCCTTGGCCCCCCAGGGCAGGTACTCAGACCTGCTCCAGGTAACCATGTGGTTCTGGGAAGGAATGGTGCCCAACAGCTTGTTTTTATTCATGGTGTCAATCAGGTGCTTTACAAAGTTGTCCCCTCACCTCCACCCCACTCACAACCCAACAAGGGCTATTGTGCTATCGAAACTGCAGAGCACACTTCCTGGGAACGTGGAATTCAACAAACAGAAACCCACAATAAGAGGTATGAGCAAACTCTACAAGTGTTTGCTCCTCTCAGAGGTTCTTGGGAGGCCAATCTTGCAAGCTGTGCTGAACAGGCAACTGATGAGGCTGCCGAGGCAAGGAATGTCTTGGTGCTGCTTTCTCTGAAGTCAGTTCTAAACCTAGTGACGAGCAACTTTCTGCTCCATTTGCAGTGCCCTAAGAGACTACTGTTCCTCAGCAGGCCCTGACAGCCATTCTTGTGACCAGTTTGTTGATGAGGCCTGGACATGAAAAGACACATTTTGGAGAAAATATGAGGGGATGGGCCTGTCTTTATGGGTTTCTGTTATGGTTTGGTTATAATTTGTTTCCCACAAATTCATATGCTTAAAGCTTGGTTCCCACTATAGTGCTGAGAGACAGGAGTGCCTATAAGAGATGGGGCCTAGTGAATTGGGACCCTAAAACTACATTTGAAAGTGATGGTCTTGAGAAGTGAGTCAGTTCTTGGAATGAGTATTATATTAAGATTAAACTCGACCCTTGGTTCCTCTTTCTTCTTATCTCAACACAAGACTGCGTTCTTTGTTGCGAGGCTCCCACCACAATGCCATCGACCATGTTGTGATGTAGCCAAAAGCCTTCACAGAGAGCCAAATGGTAGGGCTGCCAGCTTCCAAAACTATGAGTTAAAGAAGCTTATTTTTTTTGTTACCCAGTCTCAGATATTTTGTTGTACCAACAGAGGACAGAGTAAGATAGTATGTCTCTGCCAAGTCTTCTCTCATGTTAAATCTTTTCCTGGTTGTCTAATTTCTCTACTCAATATCTTTGTTCCACGGGCCATCCCTCCTCACCATGGCACCCACCTGCCCAGAGCACCTGGCTCATCCAAGCCAGATTCCTGTTCAGGTGTTTGACACTTCACCTTCTCATCTGCTTCAGGCATGATGTCTGATCAAGTCTTCCACCTCAGTGTTTAGTCAGAAAGACTGCAGCACCCCAGTGCCTTTTCTGCTTTTGAGAGCTACACATACATCCTAAGCTTGGCTCCAGGCTTACATTACATTCACACCTCTCTGGACCTTAAGTGTGATTATGCAGAGGAGGAAGAGCAGCCCTTAACATGAAGGGGTTCAGGGCACGCAACCCAAACATATGTTGCTCCAGCATATTAACTACTTTGCATAAAAGACTGGAAAACAGAAGGTACAAATAAAGTGCTGTAACTCCCCCAGCCCAACATCAGGAAATAAAATTCACATGAGAAAAGTATCTGTTTTCCAGCAGGAAGAAGCAGCATTCTCTTTACCAGAGGCAGGAAGCTGAGAGTGAGAGAAATGCATACTAAGTCTCCTTAAACATGTTACTTACTTTCCCACAGTTGCTATTCTGCACTCAATGTAATATATAAACACTTAGATCTAGTCACTTCTTCAGGTCTTCTTTTTTCTCCTTGAGGTTCCCATGTATATGCAAATAAAACTCGAATGCTTTCTCCTTTAATCTATCGCATGTCAATTCCTGATGGAAATCCATAGAGGACAGAAGAAACTGTATTCTCCCTTATTTGAGCGTGTCTTCACAGACAGGGTGGTAAGGATGATACTTGAAAACATTGTAGAAACTTCAAAAGGAATTGTATTTGTCTGCTTTCTATTACTATAACAAAATGTCTAAGGCCAGGTACTTATAAAACAGAAGAGATCAATTTTGACTCACAGTTTGGTCCAGGAACAAAGGACCTACAAGCTATGCAATTCAGTTAATGTTGGCTTTGAACTCACTATGTAGTACAGGCTGGCTTTGAACTCATAGCAATCCTCCTGCCTTGGCCTTTGTTGGGATTATAAGCGTGTGTCACCATACCTGGCTGGCAGTAGCCTTTTTGCTGGCCAAAACGCAAGGAAACATAGGGCATCACATCTGTGTGTGTGTGTGTGTGTGTGTGTGTGTGTGTGTGTGTGTGTGTTTGTGTGCATGTCCTAATTTTTGCTCCTTTTCTTATAAAGCCACTGAGTTTCAAGCACGGAGGCTCTATCCTGACCACCTTATCTAGTCCTGATCGTCTTCTAAAGGCCTTACTTCTAAGTACCACGGGTAGACTATCCTCTTAATACCATGCATGGAGTTTAAATTTCAACACATGAATTGTCGAGGACACACTCAAACCATATCAATACCTTGCAGGAACCTTGAGAAACAATAAAGTGAACATCAGCAACTCACAACTAAATTTGGCTCATAGACATATTTTGTTTTGCTGGCAATTATCTCTTTATTTAGTGTCAACATTTTAAGATTGGGAGATATCACCTGAAATTGCAATTGTCCTGAAAACCTGAATACCTGGAATGCAGGACCTGAATAGTTTTCGGTAGAAGTGAAGAGTGCATCTCTATTTAATATGTGGAGTCTGCTTGACTCCCTGCCTGAGGCCCTGAGAGCCACAGACTGAGCAAGGTTTGCAGGTGGAGATAAGAGGCCACCAGGCCAAAGGCTCTGTGGTTTTTAGAGGAAGCCACAGCCATGATTTTCTACTCACAATCCACATGCCTGGAATCAAAAGATAGCAAAGACTCACACCTGTATAAAATAAACATGGTTTTGCAATAAAGCAATGTCAACACTTGCAACCAACTCAGAGGCTGTGTGGCTGAGGAAGTTCCTCAGAGGTCAAGGACAAGTAAGTGCTGGGAGAGTGAAGAGGTGGGTGGGAACATCATGGCCAGCCTTGTAGGCATTGCACTGTGGACCGTAATTGGAAAGCCAGCCTTGGAAGGTCCTCGCTCTTGATTTAGTGTTGTGCTGATGCTATCTTGTAAGTTTCTGGTCCTTTTCGAACAAGTGCTGAATACCTTTCCTAAAGAGTGGGACAAGCAGGACTCTCTCTTTCTCCCAGGAGATACTTTTGAGATTGGATGCTTTAAGAGACATAAGATATTGCTGAATACCCTTGTAACTCTGGGATCTTGAGCAGAGGAGCAATCTCATGTACTACTGTGCTAATCAGTGAAATTAGAGAATCCTCTCAGTGGATGCTAGAGTGCCAGGAGAATGTAGGAACAAGTTAACACATTTGTTCAGTATTCAGAAAGTTATTTCTATGTCATACAGAGTGAAGTTAATGTCTTCTGCTTTAAGAATTTTTGCAGACTCTTGGGTGGGGTGAGCACAGCCAGCTAGGACCACGCATAGAACAGTGCGGGGAGGAAGCTATAAGCTCTTTGTAGCCTTTCGATCCCTGCTGGATACCTCTAGAAAGACATCTGTTCAAGGTTACCACTTCCCTTCCAAATGAATATGGTATAAACATCTGGCTACCACAGCAGGAACTCAGCTAGGTAAATGCTTAGAAGACTAAATAAAAATATAATGTTTCTGCAAGTATTATATTGAAGTCATTGGCCAAATTTTCCTGTTCATGTATGATCTTTGTATAAATTTAAAAATGAATTTAAAATGCTTTTAATAAAAAATGCATATGTTTATGGTCTGCAACATGATGTTTTATTATATGTATACCTTTAGAAGCACTAAATCAAGTTAATTAATATGTGAATTATCTTACCTTTATGATGAAAATGTTTAAAATCTACTCTTGGTGATTTTTTTTTTTTTTTTATCTTTTTCCTTTTTATCGGTACCGGGGATCAAACTCACAACTGCCTGCTTGCAAGGCAGGCACTTATGCTGCTGAGCTAAAGCCCCAGCCCCCTCTTGGTGATTTTTAAGCATGCAAATATATTATTACCTTTAGTCACATTGATCGCTTGAACTTATTTCTACTATCTTAGTGAGATTTTGGCTTCCTTGACCAATGTTTCTTCATGTCTCCCCCTGAACGTCAGGCCTTGATAACTACCATTCCATTCTCTGTTTCTAAAAGTTCAGTTGTTTTAGAAGCCACATATATGTGAGATCAGGCAGTATTTATCTCTTTGTACCTGGTTTATTTTACTGAATATGACATACTCTAGCTTTATTTATGTTGTCACAGATGACAGTAGGTCCTTGTTTTTAAAGGATACATATTATTCCATTGAATATACTGCCCTTTCTTAGTCATTTATTTATTTCTTTAATTTTATTTTGAGACAGAATCTTGCTAAGACCCAGTTACCCAGTCTGGACTCAAACTTGCAGGCTTCGTGCCTCAGCCTCTCAAGGGGAAGGATGACAGCCATATATCATCACACTCAGGTCTAAAGTGCTTTATACATTTTTCTCAGAGATTTTAAAGGGATTTATCAGTAGATAATTTAGTGAGAGACTCTTTCCTTCAAGTAATATCAGGGAGGAGTACAATTGGACATTTTGTATATTTCTGTTTACTAGACAATCAGTTTTTAAATAAAGTATTTAGATCTGTTACCTCAAATGTTCTTATTCCCTCAGGTTTTTAAGTTTATTAGTACAATTTAGATATGCATAATGATATTCATCATAGGGAATTTGTACCTGTGTATGATACATCGTGATTCCTCTTTTATTCCCAATCCTCTCCTGTCTCTTCAACCCCTCTTCTCTTTTTTATTTACAAAGTTTTGTTTCCATTTTATTCTTTTTTTGGAACCAGGGATCAAACTCACAACCTCATGTTTACCAAGCAAGTGCTTAAACCACTGAACTAAATCCCCAGCCCAGTCCTTTGGTTTTTAAAAATCATTTTATCCCTTTTCATTTCCTTCCTTTATTTCCCCCAGCTGCACCCTAGTTCCTCTTTCCTTTTGAAACACTTTTCCCATTTCATAAAATCTGTTGTAAAATCACAAAATTTTCGTCCTTATTTACTTACTCAGTTTTTCGCACCAAGGAGACAATTCAGTATTTACACATGTGTGTCTGA